TTGTTGCGGCGAGGAAGACTGACAAATACGTCGTTTTGGGATCCCTTTGGGGTCAAGGTGTAGCTCCTTTGGTTTTAGTAAGTGTCAAGTCTTCTTGTTTTTCAGGGATAGCTAACGTAGCCGAGCTGCAACAACTTGAAGATGATATGCCCGGTGTTTTCCCTTTGTGTGCTGTGACTCGTTCTATGTCAATGACTAATGATCATAATGTAACTCCTGATGTAGATGATTCACTGTCCTTAGAAGGACTTTTTGCATCCCAAGACATTTCTTCCGCAGTTAATGCTGTGACCGGGAGAGTTGCCTTAATAGCTGCGCATAGGGTGTGTCATAGGAGGGAAGATCAGCTAAAACTAATGGCCCATCACTTTTTTGGTAGATTTTAGTATATATAAACAGAAAATAATTTCAGTTTCAATATTTTGCAACCTTTTGCTAGGTAAATTTTAGCGTGAAATTTATCGAAAATCTAACGTACAGCTGCATTAGTGCATTACAATTAAATAGTGAACATTGCTTTCTGACTTCATTCTTTAATAACCCAACTAACAATATTTTTTTCTGTTTCAGATTCTGATGCATTTATAAGTTGATAATATTTGCGATGGCTGCTTGTGTCAGGACGAGGAACCAAAAATCCAGCCATCTCAGTCACTATCTTGGGTCTTGGAGAGAGCTCCTGAAGTCGGAGTTGCCTACATTGAGAGATGCTTTGAAATACGGTGTTTTAATCAGGCAAATCAGTGAAAAGAACCAAAGAACTTACACAAACAAAGACATTGCCAGTGATATGACCAAAGCTGTCTTGGCACAGTACACTCTGGCTAACGCTCAGTTCAAGCCTCCAGTCATAACAAGTCAGAAAGATTAGTGAGAGACGCTACTGTGATTGGAAAAGAGCAAAGATATCTCTCTTGGGAGAAACTTGCAGTTAGGACAGCTTTGCCCGGCAACTGGACCAGGTTATTTGACATAATTACTTGCAAGTGCTTGGTGTTCTCTGTCTGAGTTTGGATGCGATCGTGACCGCCAAATCCGAAGCCCACATCTCCTGTATTTACGAAGCGTAGAACTGAAAATTTCCTGTGATCGAACTGGCATTTGTAAGCACAGAGAGAGAAGACTGGCAGTATAGAATCTCATGATTTCTAGCCAAGATGTTCGGGTCAAAGTTGAAACGCCTAGAGACAGAAGAGGAGAAGAGTTGCCGAGGAAAAGACTTGAGAAGGCCCAGGGTGAGGTAAAAAAGGCCGATGATTGGAGTCAAGCTGATTCAGAGTTTAATGACGTCCCCATGGCTGATCCGAGTGCTGACCAGGAGAATGGTGACTTTATCCCTAACCCAGAAAATAATGATCCCAAACCTTCCAGGCATAAGATTCGAAATAGGAAAGATATCCCGAGCATAGCTCTGGCCAGCATGCGACACCACTGGTCTCAGAGAAACTGCAGAGAATAGCAACAACTGCCTGGATTAGGCAGTGGTTTGATAACACCTGATGATGTTCACCTGAGGTGATGAATCATAACAAAGTAGAGCTCAGCAAGCTTGTCCAGTAACCTAGAAGAGAGTTTGATAAGGGGATAAGAGAAAATGGAATCAATTGTTTGTTCTTTGATGGGTGAAGGGATGACACTAAAGTGTTCATGAAAGTTGGAGATTCTGACAAGTTGTTCCCTGCCATGGTGAAGGAAGAACACTACTCCTGCTGCAGTGAACCAGGAGGGAAGTATTTGTGGCATTTCACTCCAGAGAAAGATGACATCAGGAAACCAGCTGAGATAGTGGCAGATAACATTGTGAACTGGCTCAGAGAGAGGAACGTAGACCAGACCCTGCAGGCCATTGGAGGGGACAGCACCAACACGAACACAGGGTGGCAAGGGGGGTCATACAGTGGATAGAGCGGAAGATTGGGAGGAAGCTGGTCTGGATTGTTTGTGACCTCCACACCAACGAGTTGCCACTCAGACATCTGATCCAGGAGCTGGATGGCAAGACTCTTTCAAACAACAGATGGTCTGGTCCTCTTGGCAAGATGCTGGACTCTGCCACTGAGTTAGAAATAAATCCGAGCTTTGAAAAAAAATCACAGTTGGCCACCTCACTCATTGAGCTTGCACATACTGTCATTACGTGACCTGAGTGCCTGACCAGTGCAGGTGCATGATTTGCAGTGCCATCAAACTGGGGTCATGCTGATGGGGCTTGCTTACCTGCAGATAGGTCCAGTCTCACATTCTAGGTAGCTCACGGCAGCTCTCCAGGTTCTGCAGAATTTGGGTAAGCTCATCATAAACTGAAAGGGAACCAGCTTCACAACCTGAGACTTGTTATCCAATTCATCGTGAGTGTCTACTTGCCAAATTGGTTCAACACCAAAAAGGTCAAGTCATCGTTCTCCGAAGGTCCGAGGCATGATCTCTTCCAGCTTGAGCTCCTGAGGAGTCAGCCAAGGAAGGTTGTTCAGATTGTGGAGCAGACTGTGAGGAGATCTTCCTGTATGCTCATCCTGAGGCAGTTCTGCAGACAATGATCTGCAGTAAGGATGAGGAAAGAAGAGTGGCAGTCAAAAAGATCTTGGATATGAGACTTATGAGAGGATCTGGGCATGACGAATCAGTTGGTGACGATTCCTTCAGGGTCAGGAAGACTCCTGAAGTCAATCTAGGTGCCAAGACCCTCACTGATCTCATAGATCTGGATAACATCCAGGCTGGCAGTGAGCCCCCTCTTACCTGCAGCCTCACCAATGTTCAAGTCAGAGCTTCCTGGACAACCCCATGCATGTCCCTGCCTGGCCCTCACACCCAGAGTATAGGCGTTGTGTACAGCAAGTGGCCGAGGCCAGCAGTCACGTGCTGCAGCCAGGAGAGGAGGGAAGGCTACATCCGAGCTCAGGTGGTCAGCAGGGAGGTGATGAGTAAACAGAAGCAAGAAAGACATGTTCTCTATGGTGTGCAACAACACCGGGTCGTAGTAGTAAACGGTTTTTGTATTTGATGATTTTGTTTTCTAAAGGAATATTAAATTTAATAAATGTGTCAAGATCATTCGTTTCACTATTCTGGATCATTTTCATCCTAATAAATTAACTTGATACATTTACTTTACTTTAAATAAGCTATTTAGTGGTGTTGGTAAAAGGGTGGGAATACTGAATTTTCATAAGATTTCAAGTTAAAATTTACCTAGCAAAAAATGAAAACTTTTCAAATCTGAAGATATCACATGATTCTCCACATAGAACTACATCATTAATACCATGGGCCGATTTTTCAAACTCAAAAAAAAAAATTCGCCTCTGTATGACACACCCTACTATGTTATGGTTATTTTGTAACTCATAATTTTGTGTAGATACAGTACAGATATATGTAATTTTTTTTTTTTTTTATTTGCACACACAATCCTACATGCAGAATGCACAAAAATTATAAGGTATAAAGTTTTAAGTATCAGAGGGTTTACACTGTGAAGCTGTGTAGCGAGCTTGTGGAGGTCAGAGGGTCCACAGTGTAGATCACTGTTGCTAGGTATGTTCCGAGGTGAGTGCCGAGGTGGCTACGGTCTCTGGGAATTGCAACACAGTGTGTCCACTGACTTATATTATTTTTGCTCTTTTTAAACTTTCACTATTATTATTTGTTTCCTTCATTATTGCTCTTTATATGCCAACAATTTTATGTTTTAATATTACAGTGTACAGTTAAAGCTATATTTTACATACAGTAGGAATGTCTTTACCTTATCATAAATTAAAAGAATGTATAATATTGCAAGATATTAGAGAGGTAGCTACAGCACAGAACTAATACATTGGGTGTTTTTATAGAATGACATCTTTAGAAGTATGGACACCCATAGAGGAAGCAGTGTGGCAAGCATTACCAAGTATGGGTCCCCAGTGGATGGGCAAATCCTTAACAAGTGACCGAGGCTACATGTTAATGGTGACAGATGGATGTGGACTCTGGGGTGAAAACAGGGGAGCAAAATACATCATAGACCAAGCAGAGGTAATAACCAGGGAGAATTGGGTTTATTTTTTGTAATTTTAAATACAGTACAGTACAGTTTTTGTTTTCACTACATTAATTACCATTTATGTAACACAGTGTCCTCTTATGCCATTTGCAAAAAAATTTGGATAGTACTGTATACTGTATTTAGTTATGCGTAAAAGATATTTCTATCATGGTTCCACAAAATATTATTTTCATAGGGTTATAAAAATCCCTTTAGTCTCTGACTTTGATTTTGACAAAGTGATTTTAAAGGAGATGAATCTTTCAGTAAAAATCCTTTGTTTATTTGCCAAAAAAGTATTATGGAAACTTTTTTTATATGCTTAATTATATAGAAGAGCCCTTTAAAGTTTTACTGTAATTTAATTTTATTAATTTAGTTATTTTATATAAAGTAATATCTCCGTTAGCCAGAACCCCTCAAACCTGGAACTTTACGATAGCTGGAATTTAAATTTTCTCGGAAAAGTGTTCCCAAAGCTGGAATTTTCCGGAAAATTACAGCTTTGGGAAAATTTTTCGAGGGGCACATTTTCCTGGAAATCCCAAGAAAATTTCCTGATACCTGAAAAATTCCTGGGATGGGGGAGTTTTTCAGGGATTGAGAGATGAAAATCAGATACATTTTCTGAAAATTCCAAGGTTCAAGAGATGATGTAATGGGCAATTTCTGGAACTTCTGAGAACATTTTTCCGTTACCCAGAAAATTCTGGGGATGAGGGATAATTTTCTAGGTTGGAGAGATGATGCAATGGACAATTTCTGGAACTCCCGAGAACTTTTTCTGTTACCCGGAAATCTCTCATTCCTGGAATTGCTCTGCACCAATTGTTCCAGCTAGCAGAGATACCACTACATCCTGCTCAGTGATATCCCCTTAAACATGAATAATTGATAAAGAGATTTCTGGGTAATGAGACAACTCTCTCAAACCCGGAATATCCTACAACCTCGGAATTTTTCCGGGTACTCTGTACAATGGAAAAGTTTCTCAGAATTTTCCAGAATTGCGCTTTATTTCATCCTCGGAATTTGCTCCCAGACCTGGAAAAAAATTGGAGTGTGTTTCCAGAATTTTCTTGGAATTTTCCAGAATTACTGTATGCATTATTTGAGGCGCTCCAATTGATAGTGACAAATCAACCAATGTCGCCCAAATCAGATTCTTGTTTCTACAGGAAGCCCGACTCTTTCTCTACCCCATACAGGGTTTATTCGTCATCCTTCGTCATTGGTTTAGGGCTAAATTTCCAATGATAATGACAAATCCACATAATGCGAGTCCAATCGGCAGATGGGACGGCCGTGATGTCAGCGATATGGGTTTCAGCAGCCAATCAGGTGGTCACTCAGCGGGGGGGGTGTCTGTTTCTGTCTCAGTTCCCGCATTTATTACTTTCATTATATCCTCATCTGAGAGTGATAGTGCAGGAGAGGGTCCTAGGCACCCACGTAAGCGAGTGGGGGACGAAAGTACTAAGTGGAAATTAGAGGTGACAAAGCAGAAAAGGAACGCTGGCACCGAGTACACGAGTGTGAGAACGAAAAAAGTTGTGGGGAAACGTGTTATTGGCCCTGCATGCAAGGATGGCTGCTTGGCCAAGCTTGGTGAAGAGAAAGTAAGTAAGGTTTTTTATGATTTCTGGACTTTTGGTAACTTTGATAAACAGAACATTTACATAAGTAAACTCTAAACCTCTGGGCATGTTGGCCGTTCACGTACTGTATTGCTGACTGTGTCTCACGTAAGTTATGTACTATTACATACAGTGTGATATACGAGAATGAGACAATAACAGTGTGTAGGAATGCCTAATACTCTGTTCACGGGATTACTGAACAGCGTGTGAGGACTGTGCTGAGGAAGGTGTGTGTGTGGCTGGGACTGTGGAGGAGGACATGAGGGGCAAGACAGCTGCATCACACGTGCTCAGTATTAGTTTAGACAGAAGACAGCTGGTGATTGAACACATTAATAGTTATGCAGCAGTTAGCAGTCATTACAGCCGTGCTAAAACTCCAGGTTGGAAATACTTATCATCGGAGTTGAACGTCACCGCTATGTGCAGGATGTATCAGGAGTGGCTGAAGGAACAAGATCCTAATCATAAAGCCACCACCATTATCAGGATGAGTTCAATCAAGAGTTCAACCTTTGTTTTTCTCTTCCTATGGCTGACACCTACAACACCTGTGATAGGAGCTGCCATAGTTTTGCTGCCACAGACAAGATGAAGAATGTGCAGGAATTCGACTGCCTCAGCACTGAACAAACCCTGCACAGGAAGCGAGCAAAAGTTCCTCGTGGCTACCTGAAGGCGTATGCTGATGATGGTGAGCTGTGTGTCATCTTGAGCGACCTGCAGCAGACACTCCCCACTCCCCGCATCAACTCTGGTGTTCAGTATTATAAACGCAAGCTGTGGATATATAACTTTGGGATCCACAACGTCAAAACTGGGAACGCTTCAATGTATCTGTGGAGTGAAACCACAGCAAAGAGGGGGTCTTCTAAAATTGTCAGCTGTGTCATGCACTACATCAGGACACAAGTAACCACTTCAGTCATGAAACTCGTTACTTTCAGTGATAACTGTGGCAGGCAAAATAAAAACCTACACTGTTTCAGCCTGCCTTCGTTACATTCATGAGGGCGCTTCACTGACATTAAGCACATTTTCATGGTCCCTAACCACTCCTACTGTCTCTGTGATGGTGACTTTGGCCACATAGAGAAGACCCTCAGGAAGATGGAGGCCTATACTCTAGAATGCTATGCTGCAGCAATCAAGGGGTGTAGCCACACAAAACCTTTCTCAGTTGTGAAAATGAAGAGGGAGGACTTCCTGGATGTCTCTGTTTTAGTTTCACAGTTTGCCAAATGCCATGAACAAGGGGTCCTTTTCAGTGATGCCAAGGCCTTCACCTACTCCACAAACTACAAGGAGGGGTATAGCATCAAGACAGCATACAACCTCACATACCCCTAATTTGTCAGGCTGTAGAAAGGGCACGGCAGGAAGTACCTCCCAACCTTCAATTTGGCTTCCGTGACTCTACAACCGAAGTATGACAAACCTGTAGCACTGACCACCAAGAAACTGAGCGACATCGAGCACCTGATGAAGTGTATTCCTGAGAGGGAAAGGGGTTACTTCAGGGACGTCATTGCAGGGCAGAGGGATCCAGTGGCATACACAGATGAGGTCGACCCTGGTGACGACGACCTTGAGTACTAACCTCCCACCCCCTATCCCACCCTACCTTCCATCACTACACACAGTATCAGGATTGGTGAGTAACGTTTTTTATTTTTTTCACACCTGAATCTCCAACCCTGGACCTTGCGAGAAACAGCCAAAATATTGCCATTCAGGCATTTCCACAGCACATACTTCACTTTGAAATAGATTTTCATATACTTATCTAAATTTTTCCGCATATTTCTTATGTCAGGTTAAACGACATTAAATTTCCTCGTATGGTTGGTTACCGAGTAACAAAAAATTGAATGTTGGTAAACTTTACCCTCAATTTACTCAAAACATGATTTTGGTTGATTCGTCACTATCAATCGGAGCGCCTCATTTCATCCTTGGAATTTACTTCCAGACCTGGAAAAAAATTGGAGAGAGTTTCCCGGATTTTCTCGGAATTTTCCAGAATGGTGCATTTTTCAGTATTTTATCCAGGTGATTTTCCAGTAGTTTTCTCGGAATTTTCTCAGAAAATTAGCTAGATTTCCAACCTCAGAAGCTCGTTCACAGACCCAAAATTGAGAGACTTTTTTTTTAAATTTTGAGCCAATTTCAATTCTGGGCCTTGGAGAGTTCTGGCTAACAGAGATACAGGTATTACTTATCAGTTTCTAAATTCAACTAATATAAGATATACTGTACAGTACTCTTGTATTTGTCAGGTGTGGGCTCCATGCATAGAGGCTGGCATCAGGGAGATATCAAGCCTAGTGTTAACAGAGTTGACAAAGCTGAATGTCAGAGCAGCATGGGATGGAGATAGGCAGTCTGTTGTCTTCAGTATTTCTTCTCAACTAAATGACTTATCATATAGATGGGAGTTTGAACTGAAGCGTCTTACAGATAAACTGGTTAGTTGTGATTTATTTTTCATTTTCATATTTGCCCGGTATTTCATTTTATTTGAATAAAGATTGTACTACCCATCAAATTTCTGTGCTAAGGTTTAATAATTAAACATTCGATAAAGAAAATTTTGCACTTTACTTCGTCATTTTTCTTTTAATCCTTATTAGTTGGTCAAATTCGATAGGCTGAGTTAGTTGGTCAAATTCGATAGGCTGAGTTAGTTGGTCAAATTCGATAGGCTGAGTGCTGAGTTGGTAAAAAAAATTACCCCCCCCCCCCCCCCTCCCAAACACAATCTCTTCAGTCCATCCCTGTGTGTAGATATGATATAATATAATATATTATATGAGGTGTTGCGAGTAGCAAGGGCAAGCTGACAAAAACGATGTTTTGAGAAAACTTATTTGATTTTTTCCCTATTTTGGTCCATAACTCATAATTTTTTTTTATCAAATTTCTTCATTTTTGTCTTATTTTGTAGGTTTGGGGTAATACATCATGAATGTCTGAAAAATGTACCGGTATAACATTCCATAATATGCCTGATTTCTGATGGTAAAAACTATCATACAGTAGTAATACAAAGTACAGTCGGCCCTTCACATACGCGGGTTTAGCATTCACGGATTCGCAAATACGCAGATTGCCCCGCCAGAGGAATATTCTGTACATTGAAGTAATTGAAGTACATTCAAATCGCGCGCCATTCAACTCGCGAGCGGCACAGAACACGGGACACCGCCCGCTCCCGCAACCTCACACACACACACGCATAGCTCTCCCTCACTCAGTCAGTCTCGCTGTAACCACACTTGTGTTGACATCAGCATTGTAGTTGCAAAAATATTACATTTCCGTGAATGTATTATATCAAGCACAATATGAATAGAATATCACTAATAGAGTATTTTAACCGAAAACTACTAAAAAAACGAGTAACATCTCTTGAACATCGGAAGGTTAGGTAAAGTCTTTTGTTTTCGTCATGTATTTTATCCTAATTTACATTGAAATACATCACGTTTCAGCAAAAGTACTATTTATTTCTGAAAATATGGAAATGTAATATTTTGCTGAAATGACATACGTATTACAGTGGAAAGTGACGAAAGCAATGACTCACTTTCTTTCGCTCAAAAGATGTTACCGTAATCGCTTTTCGAATGGTTTTCAGTTAAAAAACTGTTGTATTACAATAATATTCTATCCTAATTCACTTGTGATGCAACAGTTTTTTAACTGAAAACCATTCGAAAAGCAATTACGGTAACATCTTTTGAACGAAAGAAAGCGAAAGTCATTGTTTTAGTCACGATTTTATCCCACATTCCACTGTAATACTTACATCATTTCAGCAAAAATATTTCATTTCTGTTAATGTAGTATATCAAGCACAGTATGAATATAATATCATTGTAATATAACAGTATTTTAACCGAAAACTATTAAAAAAACGAGTAACATCTCTTGAACATTGGAAGGTTAGGTGAAGTCTTTTGTTTTCGTCATGTATTTTGTCCTATTTTACATTGAAATACATCACGTTTCAGCAAAATTCCTATTTATTTCCAAGAATATATTCATTCAGGCGCAGTTTAGGTAAAATATACGTGTGATGTAACATTTTTTAAATTGAAAACGATTCGAAAAACACGTACCCTCTAGCCCTGTTCAAGGAGAGGACTGGGAGAAGCTGTTTGGTGCTGCCGATGGCAAGGAAAATTATTTGGATGGATTTTAATGAAAATATTCAGAAATATGGTATCGTAGTATTTATTCAAGTCAATTAGGATAGAATATTATTGTAATACAACAGTAGTGACGATGTGGAGGAGGCGGAGGGGTAGAGCGGGGAGGAGGTGACTGGCGGGAGCAGGGACGAGTGGAGATGCCAGCCAGTACATTACGGGTGTATTAATTGTTTTTATAGCTATTTTTGCATTTTAATGTTAAATACTGTACATTACGTTTCAACAAAACTACCATTTATTTCTGAGAACATGGAAATGTAATATTTTTGCTGAAATGATGTACGTATTACAGTGGAAAGTGACGAAAGCAATGACTTTCGCTTTCTTTCATTCAAAAGATGTTACCGTAATCGCTTTTCGAATGGTTTTCAGTTGTGGGATTATAAGGCTAATGATAGGATAGAATATTATTGTAATACAGTATGAGTACAACAGTTTTTTAACTGAAAACCATTCGAAAAGCGATTACGGTAAAATATTTTGAACAACGAAAGAAAGCGAAAGTCTTTCGTCATGATTTTATCCCACTTCCCACTATAATATGTACGTCATTCCAGCAAAAATATTACATTTCCATATTTATTTCCGAGAATATATTCATTCAGTCACAGTTAAGGTAAAATATACTTTTGATGTAATATTTTAATGAAAATCCAGTATCGTAGTTTTCTCTTGTTTCAAATTTAATTAACAAAGGTTGATGTTTCAAATGTAATGAACAAAAATTTATGTCCAGTATCTATAAATTAACTTTAATAAATGAATACTTTGTTTTACATCGTCCTGTGCTACCATACCATGGATTTGGCTACTTTGGGCTCGCAAGAGATCTGCCCTGGCAACTGTACCGACACTCACAGCTGGTGGTGTGTTGGCGCATCGTTTCCATTGTTTACTGGTAGTTACTGGTAAATATTTTTCAACCTAACGAAACTATTACCCGTTTAGAGGTCGACCCCCAATTTTTGCCAAATAATTTGGTCTTAAAAACTCGAACTACACACAGGTATATACGGTAAATAAGGACATGGGGGACCAAGGATATTTTAGGGGGGGGGGGGCAGCAATAGTACACGGATTTTTAACATTCACGGGTATCTCTGTTACCTAACCCCTGCAAATGTTAAGGGCCGACTGTACTGTAATTACATGTTTTATCAGATGGATATACAATTTGTGGAACTTTAATCAAGATGACACCAAAAACACAGTCAGAATAGGTAATAATGAAAACAGTCATACTCACCATAACCAGTCATGATCTGCTTGCCTGAAGTGTGGGGCAGATATAAATCCAGCATGTCGTCATCTGGTGAAGCCTCATTGTTGACGACTGCTGCAGCATCCTGTGCTTCCTGTTCAGTCACCAGGTGCACATTGAACTGCTGGTATTCGGTTAGTATGTGCGTCATCAGATCCTTAATGTCTTTCAACTTAATTTGACGGGGAAAGGGGCAAGAAAGAGAGCACGGTTTGAGCTACCAGGAACCATAGAAAACAGATTTTCCAAAATTTGGTCATCTCACCCTTGCTATTCTCAACACCTCATATAATATAATATACAGGTATAATATATAATATAATATAATATGTACTATTTACGGTTTGGTGATATTTATAGTTTGGTCATCACTGGGTCACACCTATGTTAGTCCAAGTTCAACATCTAAGCATGAGAGTGAAACAACTCGCCACGGAGGTGGAACAGAAACAACGACAGTTGGACGAACTTCTTCCTGATGTCAAGTCAAATACGAAGTCACCTGTCAGTGAGTATTGAAGGAAAAAATTATGAAAGAGAGGACTTGTAACTTGTAGGTAATAGCAGTAATAATGAATGCGGATATCTTTTTCCATTTTACAGACATTCATTTATATAAAGGTGTTTTTGGATCCCACTGCTGCTGTACATTTTATAAGAGTGGTGTTTATTTAATTATTTAATCTATTTTATTTATCTCTTCTTTCTTTTTACTTTTGTTTTATTTTCTACTTCATTTTCTCAAAGTATTTATTTACTTTAGTTTCTTACTTAGTTTATTTATTCATTCTGCTGCCCATTTCTTAGTTATGTGACTTTTTAGATTCTTATACATACTATAACCTATACAGGGTAATCTCTTAAACATATAGTAGCATGGCGAGGTCTGGGCAAGTGGATTCAATTTAATTTAATTTTACTAAGATAGGGGAAGAAACAAAGATAATACTGCAGGGATAATGATATCCCAGCATACAATAAAGATGATTTATTAAAAACGAAGTTGAGTACCTGAACACTTTAACAGAACATAAACACATGACCCACTTCTTGGGGTTCACTCAAGACTTGGCCATATTTATGCTAACACTAATACAAATCACAAAGACCACTTTGCCTTACTTCAGTGTCAGCAAAACAAGTATTCAACTTTAGCAAGGCCAATGTTCAGTAGAAATTACTATAGGTTACTGGTAACATTCTATGACAGTGACACACAACAAAGATTAGTCATCAGCCCTTCAATCACATTACTACTTCTACTAATACTTCATAGCACCTCTCAAAACCCGTCACAAGATTGTTATTCATGTACAGTACGTGTTATTATTCTCAATACTGAACTGGGGATTCAGGTTACATTGGCACACACAGTTTTCATGACTCCATGAGTAAGTGATGCAACCTATTACCACTCCTTACACCACAGGATACATTGGTATTCATTTACTAGGTGGGAATAAGATACCTGAGACAGAACAATTATGGATGCATACAGGATGATACCACAGGCTTGCGCCCCTTGTATTCAAAACAAAGGCTGGGCATTTACACTCTGTGACGCATGGCTAGGCTCCGCTGTGTTCGGGGTTCGACCCATGTCTCGCGGACACAGCCACACCCGTAGGCCTATTACTCTCTTCTGACGCCATCCACTCTAGATCTTGATGCCGGTGAATTAAAGACATTCTGTGTCAGACATCCTATCTGGCACTGGCCACCATCTCTCGGTAGCTCCAACAACACAGTTCCTGGTTGATGAAGGAAAGGCCTTTGGAATGATATGAAATTAAAATGCAAATGTCATATAATATGTCGTGCAAGGAAACAGATGGTGCATGAACATAATTTCTTAACCCTTAAGACTTTAATTACATTAACAGGCACACTGACATATTCAGCACAATAATATTCAACTAAATTAAATTCACTTAGTATCATGGTGTGACACGGAGTAATGTACCTGGTTGACGAGAGAAAGGCATTCAGTCATGACTATTCAAACTGCACGCTCTGTTTTATACCCCCGGTGTTACCACCCTCAATACATTTACATGCATTTTCATTGGTCTTAGTTACGGTAAACCTCGGGCTGTGAAAATTAGGCCATGAGCCTATATTAATTTCCTATGGTAATCACACTCCTTGGTGAGCTGGCCAACCACAACCTAGACCTATTCACAAGTATAGTGTTACAATTCAGAGTTTTTCTACAGCTGACAGGTTCTGCTCATGAGATTAATGAGTTTCTTTAATACAAAAATTACAATACAGTTGTACCCCACTTAACGCGGTCAATTAAACCCAGAGGGTCCCGCGTTAAGTGAACAACAGAACATATGGGATTAATTCCAATAGAAACCGGCCCGACCCCCAAACTCCACTTTTTGAAGGCACATACCTATGTTGTAGTAAAAATAACATCTTAATTTTATGATGGTACATGCACACAATTAATACTTAAGAGAAATAGAGAAATACAGTCGCCAAGTTAATGTCCATTCAAATAATGGACTCAACTCCCTCCCCCTCTCACACTACACTGCCGGCTCTTCCCTCTCAGAGAAATTTTTGGGGGAAAACCACTAAATTTTAATAAATAATACCTCAAACTAAAGTTAGGATAATACAATTGACATTGCTGGATTCCTTGTAAGACCAGGAATATTTTGAATATAAATGTCATATATTTTGCACAAAAGATAACATAGTTACCTAGAGAAAAATTTTTATCTAAAATTTGTATGTTTAATGCAAAATATATGATGTTTATATTCAAAATGATCACCAAATTATAAGAATTCCAGCAATGTAAATTATATTCTGACCGGGTAATTTGTATGAATTTTATGAGCTAAAACAAATATCTTCAGTTAATAAAAAAAAAATAATCTTCACGACACTATCTGTCAATCAAAGTACCCCACCTTGCCTCCCCCCTCTTCCAACCGCGCGGTCAGTCCCAACCCTCCCCCCCACCCCCCACCAATCCTCCCTTCCAGAGTTTTTAACATTTAGTATTAAATAATACCTCAGATTAAAGTTAGGATAATATAATTGACATTGCTGGATTCCTTGTAAGACCAGGAATATTTTGAATATAAATGTCATATATTTTGCACAAAAGATAACATAGTTAATTTGAGAAAAATTTTTATCTAAAATTTGTATGTCTAATGCAAAATATATGATGTTTATATTCAAAATGATCATCAAATTATAAGAATTCCAGCAATGTAAATTATATTCAGACCGGGTAATTTGTATGAATTTTATGAGCTAAAACAAATATCTTTAGTTAATAAAAAAAATAAAAATATTTTCACAGGGTAACAGATGGTCGGTCGGTCCCTCCCTCCCCCCACCCCCCACCAACCGTCCCACCAGATGTGTGGGAACACCAGAATATTTAACTTTTTTGTAATAAATAATACCTCAAACTAAAGTTAGGATAATATAATTGACATTGCTGGATTCCTTGTAAGACCAGGAATATTTTGAATATAAATGTCATATATTTTGCACAAAAGATAACATAGTTACTCTGAGAAAAATTTTTATCTAAAATTTGTATCTCTAATGCAAAATATATGATGTTTATATTCAAAATGATCACCAAATTATAAGAATTCCAGCAATGTAAATTATATTCTGGTCGGGTAATTTGTATGAATTTTATGGGCTAAAACAGGCAGTCAGGCAGGGTGGTGGGTGGGGAAAATCTAAAAATAGCGTCTCGAGCCGGACACTCACCGCGTATATGTGGAAAAAATCCGTGTTAAGTGAAAGTTCAGCTCTGGCGAGGCACCGCGTATATGATAAAACGCGTTAAGTGAAACCGCGTTAGGCGGGGTAATACTGTACATGTAATTTCAATACACTCATTGGATTCCCTGGGGTCTGTCAATCACAGAGATATAACTTCACGAGAGGGTAAACATTGTTATCAATCTTGGTTTGGCAGTCAAAACACATTGTCTTAATACAATTTACACTACATCACACTTAAAGATCGATGAAGTGTTTAACATATATTCAATACTGCTTGAATGTTTCAGCTCCTGGTTGGCATATCTGACTTAAGTTACTCATACAGGTTACATCATAAATTTAAATTTACATTACAGAGGACTTCCGGCAATACAGAAAATGGACGATACTTCTCACTAGAGAAAACAAGTCACTCGAGGGGACAACTCTTTAGTTTCACACATGTTTGTGGACGTCTGAGCAAAATGTGAATAAGTGTGGAGATTAATATACTAGCCGTGCAATGGGCGAGTTGACGGTCAGAATTTTTTCATAAGATGGCAGGTCAATGGGTAAAGAAAATGCTTAAATTCACTATAGTAATGGTATTTTAAAATAAATTGGGCCAAAAAGTCAAAAATAAGGGTTAAAGTAGCTAAAAAGTCACGTGACTGCGAAAAGCTCTGTGATTAGTTGTGACGTCACTGGTTGGGGTGAACTTACTAGCAGGAGGCAGCCAGCTGTAGTTGTCCAACCTTCTCGGCTGATCGACTCAATAAATAAATATTACAATATTAGATAATTAATTGTGCTTTATTGTGCAACACATTAATACTATTTTGAATATATAAATTTTTCTAAGCACATTAACTAATTCAATGGATATTAGCTGCCCATACAAAAAATTTCATAGTACAGTGGTCCCTCGGTTAACGAACGCCTCGGTTAACGAAATTTCGGTTAACAAACTGCCTCCCATAAGATTCTTAAATTCGGTTAACGAATTTCTTACGAACCGACCTCAACATGTTTTCGCTTGCACTGGCCGGTCAACCAGCTTTAGTATTAGTCCGCCAATACATTAATCGGTTCTAGGGCTTAAATTCCTTACTATTTTAGTCAATATCAAGAAGTTTATACTATTCAATAATTTTAAAAGTTTAATATTCAATTTTTTAGTCATTTCAACAATTATTGAACATAATTGAAGGTAAAGTGACTAGTTTAATGCGCGGCATCCAGCCTCTTAACACAGCAAACAGGCGTTAGTCTCTCTGTTTTCACTGGAGGTAACATCTTGCTTGAGACTCTCTTCAACTAAACGCTTTTTTCTGTGTTTCCAAGCAAATTATTGGTCATTTTGAAATATATTTTTCATATTGACAATATATAATGCAGTGCAGTGTTGATTTAAAGAAAATAATCTTCAAATACACCAAGAGAACTAAAATTTTATGGGTGAAATGGTGCCATGGGGTGACTTCTCTTCCACCCCAATGCCTTTGCTTTGACTGGTAGGAACATAGTATGTGCTCTATGCCGAGTTCTGATTGGCTGGGAGTGTATTGCACACACTCTGATTTCTGATTACCATACCAATAATTAACTGAATGTTACTCAGTTAAAAGTAAAAGTACCAAGAAAATTGACTTTCAAGTAGCTTAGTTTTTAAAATAGTTGTTTCATCTCAGTAACAAACCAGTTTGACATCATTACTATCCACCTCTGCAGATCAAATAGCAAACTTACATATGCCATGTATGGTGACTTATGTGTGAAGTCCATAAAGGTTCATTGATTTCCTCTTGTGAAATTCTTGAATACAGTATAATATATAGTTTACCTTATCTTGTTACAGAAAACTCCAAGACCACTAGGAATAAAGACAACTTAATTGAATCTGCAATTGAGTCAGTTGTAGTTAATGGAGCTTGGACAGTCATGCAAGATCATCTGATTCATTATCCACTCATTATGAAGCATCTTACTAGAGAGCAGTAAGTCACCTTTCTATTCTTGTACTGTAAACCCTTGCTATTCGCGGGTTTGCAATTAGTGATTTCTACTATTTGCGGTAAGCAGGTGGTGGCTAGCTTATGAGCCTCTACTGCAGTGCAACAAGTCACCCCCATGCGCCAGCAGCGTCTCCTCTCCCTTTGTTTGTCCTCAACCATTGCCTGCGATGCAGCTTCTCTTGTGTTGTACTCAAAACTTCAGTGTTTCTGTGTAAAATGGCCCCTAAAAGACTGTCTAATGTCAGTGCTAGTGATGCTAATGGAGTGAAACGTTTTGAGACCTCAAAGCCAAGAGGAAACGACTACCAATCGCATCGTTTTTCAAGAAAGAACCAGCCGCTTGCCCAGCTGATTCGCCTACTCAGTCAGCTGCTGCCACTGTTCTACCACCCGCCTCCCTGCCATGCGCCTCTCCACCACCCGCCTCTCCACCAACCTCCACTGCATCACCCTCTTCCAACAGTGATTCTGATGATCCCCCTATGTTTCAGTAGCCAGATTTCATCCTAGTGTACAGTACATTTCATCAAGCTCCAATCTTCCACATACGAAGGAGAGTAGTATTGGTGACCTAAGTTTCTCATACACAGTATAGGTACGGTATACAGCAGTGAACTAAGGTGCCATTCCTTGGAACCCAACCCTCATGAATAGCAAGGGTTTACCGTATTATGCAACTTCCAGATTAAGAGGTATTACTTGAGTATTTAATTACGTCTTGGCACATTAATCAGGTTATAGAGCCTTTTACTTGAGTCAACTTATACTGATCTCACAAAGTGAATCTTTAACTCATCAGTGTCATTTTTCACTATGGTTGCAGGATATGAAGTCATGTCATCTTGGCCAACAACAATATTGCAGTACACTATTGTTGACTAATGAAGCTCTTACAAATGACAAATTGTGTACCTCAGCATTTCATCTCATCTTTGTCAGTTTTTGTAGAAAATTTATAGGTTTTGAAGCTTCTCAGTTAGTTATGTTAGTTTCCCTATTACAGTACAGGGGGTCCCTAGGTTATGAACAAGCTCCATTCCTGAGGACATTCTTAAGTCGAAAATGTACGAAAGTCAAAACCATACTATGTGCTTACCGTGCTTACAGAACAATGTTTAAAATCCCACTATATCATAGCTTAAGTCCTTGTATACATAAAAAATTATTTAATTTAACAGAGAAAAAGAAATAGAATGACAAAATACAGTAACTGAAAGTAAAAAGTAAGTCATCAGGTAAATAAAATACTGTAAATTTAAAGTTTAACCTCGTTCGTATCGGTGGGCGATCGTAAGTTGGATGTTTGTAAGTCGGGGATCCCTTGTACCTGTATGTTATGTTGACCAACACTGGAGTAGGTTCATGTACATTCAGGAGCCAGTGCATGCCCAGTACTTGCCAACAGTGTGTAACAGAGACGTGACCGATCATCCAAGCGGCTAACGAGCCGATCAGTGGTGAAGAGGATAGAAGTAAAAGTAAAAGAAATTATTTTTTTTATTAAGTACTGTAATGTACAGCTCCTCCCCGACTTACGACGGGGTTAGGAACCCAAATCCAGGTCGTAAGTCGAAAATGCTTAAATAATACAGTACATAGAAAATCTAAAATGGGTGTCTCTTTTTCTTCTCAGCACCACAAAACTCTCACTTTTAAGCTTGCCAGCCATTTTAAAGTGAATTACAAACGAAAATTTTGTCTGTGTACTGACG